TGATTGCCTTACATTAAGAACACTATTTTATACAATTTTAAAAAGACCTATGGGAGGATCTGACCCTCACATCACCCCTTGTATGTGCCCCTGCGCAGCAGGTTACATTAAATATTTCAACTGAAATTCAAAATCTCTTTGCAAATCATAAAACTGTCCTGACGAAACCTTCACTTTTCCAGGTACACTTTACCATGTACCCGGACAATAGAATCATATAATAATGTATTTTAAATTGTTTACCAAACGATCTGCACTCGCGGCAATGTTAAACAAGATAAACTATTTATCTTTCGATCAATGGTAGTTAGAAAAAATTCCATAAGCAAACCGAATTGAATTTTTTAGTGGCAATTTGGTATCGATTATTCAGGGTCATAATTTATTCCCATAAAGAGATTTTCTTTTTCTTTTTTTATCTAACTGATTTAGTTATTTATTCAGTCCAGTGATTAAATAAGTTTTTTTATTTACCTTGTTTTGCAGCAGTGTTATCAAAGTAATAATAAATCCATTAAACAACGTGTTTTTTATGTTTTCATATTTTAACAAATTTCAATTAGTAAAGTTTACTAAGTCAATTTAAATACATATATTTTTGTTGTTTGTTTGACTTGGAAAACGGTGAGATAAAAATGTCTTAAATAATTTAGAATTATATTCATTTAGATCAAGTAAATAATAAAAAGTATAGTTCAGAAATTAGATGACTAAAATATACAAAATTATGTGTAAAAAATTGAATGATATTGAAAAACATCAAATGGTTTACCATGATAATTTAATTTTTTTTGACCAATCTCAGTCATCTGTTTAATATTTCATTCAATAACTGAACAACATTATTAAAGTTTTCAAAATATTAATATGATAAAATTATATTGTCTTAATGCAATTTAAAATATTGATTGATTAAATATTAATCTTAATATATTAATTATTTTTTTTTTTTTTGCTATAATTGACATAGATTTTATTTTACATTTGATTAGTTATTTATTCATGAAAAAAAAAGAAAATTAAAAAGTAGCTTTCTTCTAGAGACACCTAGAATATAATGAATTTGGATAATTGTTTAAATATTATTTATATATATATAAATAAAGTGGGTAATTCGACTAATATTTATTTTACTTAATTAAGTATTTTTATAAAAAATTTATTTCGGAAAAAAATATGATTTTCCTTAGATTAAAATATAAAATGAGTAAACAGAATGTTTATTTAAAACCATAATTACATCGTTAAATTAATAAACTGTATTTTATGATTAATGATTAAAAAAAAAAAAATAATAATCAAAACCGAATTTATTCTTTCTAACTACAATGTAAAAAAGGAATTTGATTTTTCAGCTAAACAGTAAATAATTATCGTATTTACTGATTCAGCAATAACAAAACTTATCCAAAAATTATTTTTAATATTAGATTATTTAATTTATAAAGTATTTAAATGAGTATATTTTATATAATATGATAAATATAAAATATTTTTTAACTTCATATTAATATAGAATTTGAGTTTTACTATTTTAAAACGTCATGTGTAGTCAATAGAAAGAATAATTACATTAATACAAACATTTCCTGAACTTTTCTGACATGGGGAATATTCCCGGAAACTTTTACCGGACATGTTCATGATTTTACTTTCCCGGAAAAGTGCCCATTCCTATGAACACGTGTCAAGATTAATGCACGAAATGTCATCCGAAAATATAAATCAGTATCAGTTTAACAATTAGTACTCAAAGTTTTAAAGTGTTAAAGCTACATCTAAAAAATGTCCGAAAAAAAGAGGTTCTATGACAAAATTATGAAATTTATAAATTTACACCTACGCAACATAAGCAGTTATATGAAATTTATTAAACTCCAGAAATTAAAAATACTGAATATAGGTCGGCACTTATATAAATATATTCTTGCAATAAACGATACATTTCTTCACACACATTTTGCACAAATTTACTCATAGAACATTTAGGAACTCGAAATAAATATTGTAATGAACTATGAAATTCCCTCGTTACCTACTAGTTTTTTCCCAGCTGGTAGTGCCTCTCGAATAAAAGTATTTTGTTTTTGTATATTTGTTTCTACTTTACATAAAAGATAATATAAATGTTTATCGTCCATTTACGAAAAAATCTTAAAATCAATTTGATCTTCAATTTTCAGCTCTTTATACGGTAAAATCAGAATTCGTAACATCAGGGATGGACTGGCAGGATGGGTAGGTGGCCATACCTACCCAGGCTCTCTAAAAATTTTATATTTGTGCCTCAAGCTATATTGGTAGTTTTAATGTTTTTTTTTTTTTATATCATATACATATGCCGTGCAGACCTGTAATTCAGGAGGTGCCTACAATACTTTTGAACCCTATCTTAACAAAACGTGTAGGTATATTTAATAAATGATAATTTATATATATCTTTTTTAATAATGAATCATACTAGTCCCAATGTCTTCTTTAAATCTATAATTACAATTTATACAATCAATACAATTTATGAAAATAAAACAACTGCGGCTGTAATTGCGATGGCTATGAAAACTGATGGTTTGTAAAACGTATATCCACCCCCCCTCGGATCTACAAGGCTTTAGTCCTTCCCTGCGTACCAGTGACACAAGGAATTGAGACAAACGGACGTAGTCTCGGATGTCAAATATGAAAAATGGAAACCGCACTTAAGTCTCAAAATAAGAGTGTCTACTCGTAAGTCCGTCTCATCGGGTTTTCAAAAATCAATAGAGATAATGCGAGATAAAATTTTATCGTCTGTGCATCGAGTAACGATCGTGTTTCAGGTTTCACACGGAGTCGTTTATTTTTTCCTATCGACGTTTAGCACTTAAACACGTGTCTGCGATGGGATCGTGTTCCGTGATTGCGACTTGGTTTCTTGTTCAACTGGCAGGCTGAGAGGAGGGACAAACATTTGGAGTAATCGATCAGTGCCCGAGGAAAGGTCGTGTGCAATTTCCCATGATTCGGTTCTGATGAATACTCACGGATATACGGATACGGACGCGCGCGCATACGAATGATTTAATTAACTAAAACAACATTAACTAACTTGAACAACGGACTTGTATAGACTTTCGAAAACGAAGAACACAATGACATGTCTTCGTGGTTCGGGCGGACCGCAGTTGTACGTTATCAATCACACTGAAATGTAATTTCATACGTACGTCGTTATGATGTACTCGTGTACTCATATCTAGTACGCTACGTCCGTGGTCTGCTCATATTCGACGCCGAACAAACGAAAACCCGTTCATTTGCGCTATGATCATGTTATCCATTTCCATCATTTAATACAATGCATACGACTATGATATCCACGATTAATCACAACTCAGGCAGCGGCGACGTCGTGCAGTTCGCAAGACGACTACCGAGTCATATTTCAAAACTTGAAATATGCTTATGGAACGTAACATATAATTTTTTTTTTTTTAACCGATTATACTACGTGAATAGCGTAAAAATGTTTAATCAACCACTGTAGTACGCATGAAACGTATTGTACAAATTTCACTATACACATCACTCCACCGATTGATTTAACGAAAACAATAAATCTAGACCAGTGGTTCTCAACCGGGGTGATATGGACGCAGTGTAGGGATGACACGAAATCTACGAGGGAAAAGGAAAAAAATAAAAAAATAATTAATCTTAATAAAATCATATTATTGCCACAACTGTCGTGTAAATATCATACCTTTAAGTTTGTGTCTTTACATTATTTATATCCGATAAATACGTGCAGTTACAATGTTTATTGAACCCTGCAACTCAAATAAATTGTAGGTGTACCTACTTATTATTTTTCTGTGTACTGTTTTTTTTTTTTTTTGTTATTTCAAGAATTTTTCTAAAATACACAATTAAGGTTATTGATTATTTTGATGTTAAAGTGATGCGGTGTTTCATCCTAGTGGCTAAAGGTGACATTAACAGGAAAAGGATGAGAACCACTGATCAAGACATTAGTAAAATTAATTATTCGATTAATAGAAATAAAACAAATTTAATATCTATGCAACGCGTGTATCACAATGTGTTCGATACCGTAATCGGATTACTGTTGTTGCTTTAAAACCGTCACACATCCAACATAGAATGTAAGATGACTTTTCCCGTGTGTCCAATAAGCAACCGTCGAATACATTATTGTTCGAAACATTATATCGATTTGGTGTACAATGTTATACAAACGCGATTTACCCAATGTATTCTAACGGAATTGCTTTGTTTGAAACAACTGCATTACGGGCACTTGCTTCGTAACTACTTAACACGAATAAGGTATTTTAGCGCATATATATTCATCAAGGGTTATTAAGTTTATAGTTTAACACATGAATGTTACACGCACAACAATTGTAATGCACTGCCGTCTCGTTCAATGTGCATTGGCCGGTAAAGGTCGTCTGTATTAAAATCGTTACAGATGGTTTAGCGCAGAAATAACGATAACGGAGAAAAAAATAAGATATAAGATCGTGTTCAACAATACGTAAACGATTCGAAATAATACGTATTCGATATTGTAGACGAGTTGAACGTCATCGTTAACGTTATGCAGTTACTATTATACGAATCCACGCGTGCGGCAACATTCGATCGCTATAGTGTTATTTATTAGCGGTTTCACAAAAAAAAATCAAAAAAAAACATTTAAAAAAGCGTCGGAAAAAATCGGACGAGCAATGCATGTAAAAGTATTTTAGCATTTGAAACAGCGCTGTGACATTACGATATTACCATAGCGAAGTTTTGCGGACACGACGAGGTGACGGTCGTGTCCGGGGTGACCGACGCGTGCACCGAGTCCGCGGCTGACTGATTGGAAGTCGTGAGCAACGAGCTCAGGTGCGCTATGTAAGTGGTGGCCAACCGAAGCGTGTCGAGCTTGGACAGCTTGGTGTCGGCCGGCACCCACGGCAACGTAGTTTTTAGCCGACTGAAAGCCTTGCTTAACACCCGCATCCGAGCCCTCTCCCTCGCGTTGGCCGCGTTTCTCGGACATCCATCGTCTTCCTGCAAGTCCTGCTGCTGACGCTGTTGCTGTTGTTCCGACCACCAGTCCGGTTTACGTCTGCCCATGTCACATCTGTAACGATGACCAAAACGGTATTATTTTCATTATGGAAAAGTAACCGTTATATAATTCGTTATGAACACCAATCGGAAACAGTAAAAACATGACTTTCGATACGTTAAAGCAGTAGTTCTCAACCGGGGTGACATATCACCCAAAGTTGACATGGATGCAATTTAGGGGTGAAATCTCCATGGAAAAAGGAAAAAAATAAGAAAATAATTAATTTTAATAAAATCATATTATTACCATAACCGTCATGTAAATAGCGTACCTTTAAGTTTGCATCTTTATATTATTTATATTTATTGTATAGATCCAATAAACACGTACAGTATTATTATTAAAGCGAAATCGTTGCATTATCGATTATTTTATCGACTTAATCGGGGTCGTTAGTAAGTTATTTTGCAATCGCTAGTTATGTAGTATTATTATAGTAGGTATATTATAGCACTACAACTCTAGAAGACAATATGAGACTCGATCTTTCCACCATCAGTCCTCAACTTCCTCAACTTTGTAAAAACCACCAGAACCCAATTTCTCATCAGTTTTCATACAAATCATAAATATTTTTATTTTTATTTTTTTAATTTGCAAATTTAAATTTTAAAATATCAATGTTTATTGAACCCTGCAACTCAATAAAGTGTAGATGTAGTTTTTTTTGTTATTTCAACAATTATTTTAAAATACACAGTTAAGATTATTTATTATTTTTTAGGTTGACGCGGTGTTTGATTCTAGTAGCTAAAGGTGACATAAATGAGAAAGATATGAGAATCACTGCGTTAAGGGAATAATAAAAACGATGGTATTTTAACGCTTGATGAGCACAACTCTCTGTTGACGGGCCTATTGCAAACGTTCGAGGGCAAACCGTCTCAGGAAGAAAATATTCCCAAAACAATAAATTCTCTCTTGTTCCCCCCGCCCATGGAATTAGGTCTTGAATACGTTACGCATTTGTGACACATAGTTATATTGGACGTATTTGGTAGGCACACGCGGCCAGTTCACGCGTATTTCCGCGATTGACGTATATAATATATAATCAGAATTTCTTCCTTCCGCAAGATAATTTATTATTAAACTTTGCGAATTAAACTTAATCCTCGTATGAAAAACAGTTATAGTAAGTTTAAATTCAGAACTTCATGCAGTACCTATACCGGATAATACATTATTTGTCAAGTGCAAACTTCATTGTTTTTAACTTATAGTGTAATACATTTTTCAATTTTCCAGAATATGAAAGCCCAAATTTTATTATAATTATTTTATAATCGTTTTTTTTTGTTGAGTTATTTTTTAACCAATCTAACTTTTCAGTGGCTTGTTTATTATTTAACTCTTACCGCATATCCCACTTCATCGCGTGCATAAAAGTAATTCATGAAGAATAGGAAAATTTCCATTTCCTTTTTCACTCCACATAACTCACGTTATATCATTATCAGCTGAATACTAACGGCATTAATGAAGAATAAAAACTGTATGTTTCATTTTAGTATCTTAAAAACACATTCGTTACATTAATTTACGTTGTTATAAAACTGTATGTACGATTTTATTGAATTGTTTATGTAAAAATTTGTTTGCCAATTTGTCATTTCACTCAATTTTAATTTATTCAAAATGTTAGTATTAAAAGCTAATATAGGATAACTTAAACGTGTATTATCAAATTTCATGAGATTTACATTGATAATAAAAGATAATATTTTATCCTTTATACTATGCACGTATTCCGTTTTAAGACAATATGTTTAGATGACCTAAAACGGATTATAACATTGAAACGACTCTAAAGTAAAATCAACAAATTTTACTTAAGTATAACAGGATTATAAAGTATTGTGAAGTATTATACTTATATATACACCTTTCATATGTGTGAATATGAAATTTATATCTAAGACAAACATTTTTATAAAAACGATATCAGAACTTACAGCATTGTTATAATACGTGCAAAACTACAAGTGATACTGCAATTATAATAAGTAACTTCCATATTTGCATGAATGCAAAAGAAACTTTTAATAATTAAATACGATAAAATAAACATATTACATATTATGTGTACATATCACGAAGTGGTAAAAGCATAAGTGATATTGCCTACAGCAGTGGTTCTCCAACTATTTTGTTCGCAGAGCCCTTATATTTCTAAGAAAATGTTCGGAGCCCCAAAAATCAGAAAATATCTATTTGAAACTATAATGATTAGTACACAAAAAATGATATGATAATATTTCATCAAATTCATCAATATTATCATTGATCGATTCCAAATATTTCTTTAACAGGGCAAAATTATAAATTCTTTGTCAAGAAAAACACACAGTCCAAAATACATTTTTTTTTTTTTATAAAGCTCGGATTTTTTATTTGCTGTGAAAACTGTGGTAATTATACCTTGTATTGTTGTATTGATAAATGTATTTAATTTAATTCTGTAAAATATTAGCCAAGTAATGAAGTGGAAATAACCAATTTTATCAATAGGTCTGATTTTAAAATAAATGGGTGATCGGTGAATAAAACGTACAATTAATTGCGCAATTCAAGTCATCGTACACGTATTTTTCCTCGATAACTAAAAAGTATATGAATTTAATTAATTCAGATGTGCTCGCAGAGCCCCTAAACTTCACACGCGGAGCCCCGGGGCTCCACTAAGCACAGTTTGAGAACCGCTGGCCTACAGTGTTGTAAAAGCAAATCTACCCCTAACAAATTGCCTGTTACAGAAATAACTTAATTTAATACCTACCTATATAATAGATACTTAACGATCTTTAATTCAGTGTATTAAACACGCAATGTATTAAACGTTATAAACTAATCGATTCTCCTTCCCTTTCTTTACACGAATAGTTGTAAGCGTTTTACTCAATGATTATTAATTAATCATAAATCACCAAAATGCTTATGTTTCATTTGCAAAGAATTATAATAGTTAATGTTATGTAATATCAAAATTATATAATACGACGAAAATTAACGATAACGCGCGATGGCACAAAAATCATCGTTTGGATTTAATGGGCGTTACGCATAAGTGTATACGTTCTTCATTACAATACACTACTGGAATTATATGAGTACTTATTTGATATCTTTAAGAAAATGCCACACCCGTATGTTATCTTCGTCTTACAAACGTGCAATAAGGCAAATATATGTTCCATAGAACAAATTTTAGTTAACCTAAAGATTCTAGACTACAGTAAACTGGACCGTTATTAATCTTAAAAGGAATTAATTATACGTGTTTGTATGTCAATTTTTAGAATATTTAAATTGTTTAGTTTAATATGAACCTACTAAATCGGTTCTACTGAACGAATGCAGATAACAGCCATGTCGTATTACGCTTAAAATAAGACTACACAGGCGGGTTTGGCTTACTTTTAACTTGAATCAGTTGCTTTGATAAAGATAGTATATCTAATACAATTTAGTTAATATTAGGAGCATTTGATGTAGTTTAATATGTGCGGCAGACCCACATACGAAAATATTGTCAAAATATAAAATACATTATTTGGTCAACAGCTCATAGTTAATACGAGTACATTTAATTACACCTTGCCTTATTATAAAACACATACATTCTTAAGAAAAATCGAATATGTCAATATCTCAATCAGATCCTAACCAAGAGGAAAAAGTATTTTTATACTATTGTCCTAACACTTTGCTGGTGTCATAATATCAGGTGTGTCTACGTTATGTTTTTTTTGTAGATACAGTAAAATAACGCATTTATTAATAGATAATAATATGTGCATTTCAATTACTCAGTGTTCCTGAAGTTGGTACTACCTTAATCATTAATTCGCTTTTTTATTGCTATCACACCTGTATATTATTGAACGCTAGTAAAAGAACTACCTCGATTATTTTAAATGTTTGGTGCCTCAGACCTAAGTCATTCGAAAAACGTTCGAAGCGTAAACGTTATTCCAAGCATAAATCTCCGTCAGAGGTTATTTTAATGGTACAGTATCGACATGATGTTAATAATAATAATAAGATATGCATAAATTCAACGACGTAGTAAGTGTATGGTGAACTGTGTCTACACCAGGAACTTGAATTGCAAAGGAACACAAAATTGTGCAACAGTCATATTTTTATTCTGCCTTCGATCAGAACATTTTTCCATACTTTTTCGAATGTTTAGATTTTGTCTAATTGTACACGTTACGTGTGAATTCAATAGTGTAATAATTATTATGAAAATTTTACAAGGGATTAATATAGGAAATTTCCCAAGAAGAAATTATTGATGAATTTGTCAGTCTTAAAGTAAGAAAAAAAATTAATTTGAGTTTAAAATCGTCACTGTAATAATAACTAATTAATATGAATTGTATTCTTAAAAAAAGTGTCACGGGCAACCCTCGAAAGATGTGAAAACATATATGAGCTTAGATCGATAGATTTATTCTATAAAATTTGAAGTAAATTAAAACACGTGTTTTCGTTTTATTTGTAGGATAGGATTGAACATTTTTAAGAATTAAATTCTATTCATATTCTATTCCACCGCTCGATCTTTGTGTATCCGAGTCATGCGATGGGCGGTTATCTAACGGTGGGTAACATTCGGTACGACGGCGGCCAGACGGTAATATGAAGCCGCCCAAACTTCCTCCTCCATATCTGTTTCGTTCCCCCGCGCCACACTCTTGTTACCCAACCAATATCGTATGCACGGAAAATTTAATATTTCTAATTACTATTTAATTAATTAATTTTTTAAATTTTTCTCATTAGATGTCTTATCTGCACACAAAGTACTCGCGTTAAAAAAAAAAATATGCAAATCGGTCCAGTAGAACTTCAGATATAAGTGTCATAAAAATCACATATCCTCTTAATAAAATAATAAGTAAATACTGGATTTAATTGATTTTGTAACTTTTTATTGATACCCAGTAAGTCATATCTGATCAAATATGTATACGAATCAGTCTTCCTATTTAATTTAATTA